TCTCCAACGCGTTTCCTGAGCTGAGTGGAGATCTCAAGATCAACGCATATCTACCTCCTAGGTGTCATCATCGACCAGCATTTCGATTTCCATCGTTACGTCAAAAACGTCGTGTCCGGGGAAAGGCGACTCCTTGGCTACGTCATTCGGTCCACAAGAAGACCCAGTGGCGATGTGCCCAGATTGCTGTTCACAGCACTGGTGTTGCCCATCCAGGAGCTTTGCTGCTCGGTGTGGGATTCGGCAACCAGGCAACTTGTTGCCTCCTTCGAGTTGGTGCAACGTCACGCCTCCTACCTTATTATGGCGCCAACTTGGCCCCCGAACAGCATCCTATCGAGCACTGCACCTCCTCCGTTCAGTAGGCAGGGACCGGCTTCAACATCGTCCTTAAGTAGCGACCACGCGGCTCGTAGCCACTTTTCTGCCACCGGACTCCTCGCTTACATCTGCCCCCTCCCTGCGGCGGCGCCCCTTTTTACCCGTACGCTTAGTCACTAGAACTCCTTCCCACCCTGTGCGATCCAACTTCGCAGACCCAGTTCACCACCAATCGACAGTGTCTCACTTCGAACATCCACCAAGAGTGTCACGGCCCACCGCCGGAGCATCTAACTCGATTTTTTTTTCGATCACGTGAGTGCGCTCCAGCATGCAGACTGGATGCACCATCCTGTACACTCGCACACCCTACTGATGCATAGCTCACAATACTAACCATTCTGCTCGAGAAAACTATGATATGGTGACTCATTTTACACTATTATATACACACAATGTGCTAACATTAGGGTCTACCTATTAAATGTGACAGAAATCATCCGAAACCAACGTTATTTCAACACGCTCCCATTGCCTTCCATAGCGGCCGCCACGATTTTTGTGGTGAGCTAGGGCGGCGCCAAGCAGAACACTCCGTCCCCCCAAGCTGTTCACGTGATATTTCTTGGCCTTCGCGCTCCCATAAGGAAACGCACCATGAGCAGGTCGCCCCTATAAAACCGGTCGTGGTCATAATACGGGAGAACACCGACGAGTTCCGTCCAAACGCTCATTCAAGTTCGAACATACGGTTGGAATAGGCTAGAGCCACTCTATGTGGCAGCGTAGCTGCCAGAGTAGCGTCACGCTTTTCCCTGTGCCGCCTCTCATCGTGATTGGTCAAACGCGGTACCATAGCAACGAGCTGAGCTGGCTCGGTTTCCTTAACAACTGAGTGAATACTCATCACGTGACTTCAAAAGAGCCGTGATGTCACCGGTAAGATGGCAGCGCCCAGAGCTGGTGGATACGAGTTTGTTCGGTGCGCGGTAGTCGTAATGTGCCGCTGCTTGCCGACGATTTCGGACTTCTTCGTGCTCTCTGACGCAGGTATAACGTGAAGATCTGAAAGAATCTGACTTTAAACCTTTTCTGTGCAAGATCGCTCTGGATATTAGCACCTGCGCGACAGCATGAGTCATATCGCCGTAGCGGTGCTCGGATTTCTGGATGTGTTCGAGGATCGATAAGACATTTTGCATGCAATTTTTGCATACTCCTAGCCTTGTTTGAACGTTGGAATGTCTGAGAATCAATGCAAAATTGTATGCGTCGCATGTTGGACCTTGGGGGAGTTGTTTCAGCCCCAGGTAACCGCGTAATCTCAATCTTCGAGCGAGGAAGCTCCTGCGACCTTTACGTTTTGCACTAATCAACGATCTGAAGATATAGCTTTTAGGGTAACATTTTTCGCATTTTTTAGCTTCCTTTGAATGTTGGAATTTCTGAGAATTGAAACGAAAGGTATACGTCGTGTGTAGGGCCTAGGGGAAGTTGTTTCAGCCCTGGGTCACCGAATAATCACAGCAACTTTAAGTGAGGAAGTGCATGCGACCTTTAATGTTTTGTACTAATCGACGATTTTACGAATCGACAGTTCTGAAGACTCTGATAAACGTCCTTTCGTTGCAATAGCTTGCATTTGATCGCAGTGTCTTTAGGTTTGTTTTTTTCAAGTGACAAGCTGGCATTTGCTCAAATGACGTATATGAAATGACCTGCTCTATAAGAATGCATCAACACATACTATTAAATTTATATGCTCAGAGGTGTGTTCGTGTTTGTAATTAACAAGTTACAGACAAATATTTTTTACGAGTGCAATATTTATTTTCAGCAGCTGGGCCCATTTTGCACTCATTAATGTCTTTGTGCTATGATGCTATAATCATGTGTGTATGGTTCTAAATATCCTCTTTGCAATGCCTACAAAAGCCAAAATGACGTCAACCGACCCCAGCTCACGCATTTGACACGAAAACTGCGTCACTCGGATGTATTCGCTCGTCAACAATAAATTCGTCGATGGATATTTGAATTCACGTTTGGGGCCAATGAGTGCACATGAGTGCACTTGCGAATGACAAGTTCTATGGTGTGCTTAAAAAGCACGGTGGAAGCTTGGGGTCATCGCACCGGTGTCCTAGCATGTCACGACCGCGGGATTCCACTGCTTGCTTTGGAGTTGAGGATTAAAGCTAGGGAAGAAGAAGTTAAAGAATCATTTCATGGCCCCTTTAGCACGGGTATGTGTGCTACATCAGATAAAAATATTGACGTTTTGCATGCCGGTAAACTTCCGGACGACCACTTGGCCTGTCGGCAAGAACACCTCATACCCGGCGTCCGTCTCTTTTGATGACGTTAACAATCCTCTGTAGACCACCGTGCTGTTATTCTTCGTTTAAACCTGTCGACTGTTCATCGCCCAAAATGAGGGTGATACCGTCGTCGCCGTCGCTCCTCGCCAGTCGGTGAGATAATCTCATCTTGAATGAATGATTGGGTCTTGAAGTATGGTGCTGAGCATACATTATCTTATTATGGGGCAGTCGAGCAGAAGTCATGTCCCAAGGCAATCGTCCTGTCATGGCCGGCATAATCGGATTTTGTTCCATAGGAGCGAAGTCCGAAAGTACAAGAACGGTACGTTTGTCCCACGAAGCGACCAGCGACCGCCATCCTGGCGGTGCGGAAAACTACTCGCCTTGTCCGTGCACGCTGCAAATCGTCTCATTTCACAGAAGAATAAAGGCCGGTTCAGACACTTGCGTTTGAGTGCGTTTGACTGCGTTGCGGCGAGAACCGTAAGCGAGTCACCGCCACATCTGTGCTTCGTACGAAGCGTGGAATCCAATTCAAGGAATCATCTTGGCACGCGATATTAGCAGCAGGGATCTCCTGGTTTCTCGCTGCCGCAACGCAGTCAAACGGAGTCAAACGCAACTGTCTGAACCAGGCTTCAGGCACCGCTCCTCCAGAGGCCCGTGCCGTACCCCCATGCAAAGCGTCTTTTAGGTCTTTTATCCACTTTTCAATACACGAATGGAGATATCAACTAGATAAAGGTTGCCACCCGGTGTCACTAGCAGTACGGTTACCATAGAAACCTCCCAGGCCCAAAATGGAGATCACTATAGGCGCTTCTGACGTCGTGCATCTAGATAATTTTGCGTCGTGTCGCTACTCTGGCAGCTACGCTGCCATATAGAGTGGCTCTAGAATAGGCCAGTCGACAAAAACCATGCGAAGCGTCTCGCCGGATCGGCAACACCCTGCGCCTATCTGACGGGTGCTGGGATTTGGAGGCCCGCTTGCAGAGCAGCCAGGTCCTTCTGGAAGCGGGATTGCCTTCAAAAGAATTTTTCTTCCACGTTGGCAATGTCCAGCACACAGTTCGGAAAGGAAGCTTCGGCGCTTCATAGCATGGGTGATGCAAATCATAAATTCGATGTCTCGCCAGCTTAATCTCGTTAGTAGAAGTCTCCTTCCTTGAAAACAGCGGGGATCCATCGTGCAGTTACCTTGCTAGCTTTGTGCAACACTGTAGTCAAACTTCGCACAAGGTTGTTCTCGTACTTAGCAAAAGGGTGTTCTTGCAATGCGCAAACTTCGTCCGTTTCATTAATTTTTCTACTTTGAATACGTAAATCCGCGTTGCTTTTAATTCGAGTGGAGCATAAGTAGCAGAAGCTACAAGAGCGAGTGCCGAACGTTTAGCGTCCTTGGCCAGCATCGCGCTCGTGCAGTGCGAGTACAGTGTAGAGCAACATGCTCGTGCTTATACGTTCGGCTTCACTCGAACACATGGTGGAACGATTATATTTATATTTTATAGCTTAATATTTTTCGAGTGTGTGCCTACGCTTTTGTGTTCATTACTCTCGCCTTCGTTTTTACCACCTCTGCAAACACGATCCTTTCACTCTCTTAGTGTTAACATTTGGTGTTTTTTTTTTTACTAGTACTGTAAACGTCCACTTGTGGGGCTACGCAAGTGAATTTTTTTTAACACTTTCGAAACGCTCTTGCGATAAAGAAAACCGGTCTACTAAAAGGCGTTTTTAGACCTCCGCTTTCCATTCCGGCGAAGGACACCGCGAGTGCGCAGTTTGGCATCCTGAGAGCGGAGCCGAAAATGGAAACGGTCCACTAAAACTCCCTAATAGCGGTTAATACTTTAAAAAAAAAAAAAAAAAAAAAAAAACGCTGATCGTGAATTTTATGGAACGAATCTCATGTTTGGTTGTGGTGTATCTTGTTCTCGAACCTGAGATGGGGCGTGAGCATTGGAGCTGCGATCGCATCTGCGTCGGCGCCGCCTCGATATCTTTGTTACCAGTGCCTTGACCACAATAATTTGGAAAATACGAAAATTTGCTTTTACATGTCGAAGAGGTAATTTTAAAACGTGTCAAATCACTTGCCATGGCGGGCGGTTCAGAATATTAACAATACCTGCTGACATTCCTGGTTCTCCGCATGTTACGGTTGGTTAATCTCCGGGCTTTCCACCGCTCCGAGAAAAAGGGTAAAATCTAGAGACCGGTGTGAAGAGAAAGAGAACATTTCGTGTCAGTGACCATTTGTAAATACTTCCTAAAAAGTATAAACTCTACACCACAGTTGCTTGCTTTACTTGAGAGGCCTAATTGTTTTCCGTTGTGTTTCCTACACAGGCAGCGGACGGCTTCGGCGTGCAGCGGATGATATATGGCTTGGTATTCATTAGCCTCGAAAACGGTATCCCCATTCACCCTTCCCTCAAAAACCAGGTTTTCTGGCGACCTGCTTTGGTAGCCAGCCAGGTATGCTATGGTTGTTTCAAAATGCGTTTTTGTCGTGTTTTTGTATCGCACCTATGTCATAAAAAAATAAAGGTTGGTACCGACCTTTATCTCCGAATTTTTCAGGGGTGTTTGAGCTAACTTGTTTTAAAACTTTAAAACAGATAACTGTTACTTGCCGAATTCTCGCAAAATTGTTCACAATCTTACACTGTTAGAAAAACTCCTGTCAAAATATGGGACACATACATGCTAACCTTGTTGCCACAACATGTACTGTATTACCGGACTACAGAACATGTTCCATACTTCTTTAGTACGGGACATGTTGTTGCTATATGGGCAGCCACAACAAGTTCCATACACCATCATCACGGAACAAGTACTGTATGCTACAGGAAATGTACCATCGTGGCACACAGCAGCACATGTTCTGTTGCAAGCCATGCCAGAACATGTACCATTTTTACGAAGTACATTACATGTTCCAATGCGTCCAAAACGACACAGGTTACATTTCTTGTACGTACGGAAAAAGTGCAGTCTTGTTTGTGATAGTACTCGCCCCATTTTATGTTACTGCCGCTATTCATGAGTACATCCGGGCTTTGTATGTCACATGCCAAGCTCCTCCTTAAAAAAGTTGATATGCGACATGCAAAACAAGGATGTCCTGGCAGTTTGCAGACGCAACTTGATGCACGTCTTTGCAACATAAAATTACCTGCAATGCGCAAATGTTCCCCAAACTTGTATGTATGGAAAATTTGAACTGTCGTATCTAATGCGAGCACTATCCTGAAAACAGAACAATGAATCTGTGACATATATACTCAATAGAACAGCCAGGAATGCCATGAGAAAGTGTTCACATGCTGCGTCAAGTTTAGAGAGCATTGTACATGTAGTGACGGGGATAAAGGCAGATAAACATTTGTAAAAAAAAATCGTTATCAAACTAAGTTCACGCTTGGTCCTTTTGGTTCCAAACCATAGCAACGGACCCATTGCAAAGAAGACTGAACAGTTTGCTGCTTCAAAAATATTTACATTTATTTTTCTTTTAAATGACTAGAGCAGATACACAATAAAAAAAACAGTTCATGCCGCAAATATTTTGGGGGGCAGCTCACCCATAAAAAAAAATATCAAAGTGAGCAGTCTCCTCAAAAAATGTGAATAAAAATTATGCTAATATGCTACATCTCGAAAAGAACCATCTTGGCCTATACAACAAATTGTAATATTAACAATAGAAAAGAAAGATTAATCTAAACAAGCACGAAGTTTCTTTCCACTTCTTTTGGAACTTCGAGAACTCTTGGAGGGCTCCCTGCGCCTTCAGATGCACCAGAGCAACTTTTCTTGACGACTGCCGGGACCCCTCCTGCGGGTTCATTGCCACAAGTCGCCTGAAAAAAAAGATAACATAAATAATGGGTGGGATTTCTTAGAGGAGGATGTATAACAGAAGCTAAGGAGTTCCTGGCTCCTTCTTTAACTTCTCTATCGGTTAGTAATCCAATCTGGACAAATTCTAAACCTCGTCTATAGTATACTTTCAATCCGAGACACGCCCTTAATTTGGACAGTCCGTGCAGACACCATGAGCCTCCAAGTCTGATCCTTGCATCAAGACGAATTCTGATTGTACACAAAAAAAAAAAAAAAAAAAAAACGATTCAGCTTACTGGCATCAGTTCTCAGTAATAACTGGACACATTTCGGATCTTGTGTCAGCACACAACGCTAAAACATTCTACAACCCGAGACGGAGGCTACAAAGAAGGACGAACACATCCGTCTCAATTGAAACGTATGTCTTCGAAGCCTCCTCCTCGGTTTGTAGAATGTCATATTAACCAGCTCGCCTGTCTAGTAAAGTTGTACCCAACGATAGTTCGGTTAAAAAAAGGAATTCACAGTACCAGTAAATGTAATATTACAAAAAAACATGCCTGGAGTGCTTAAGCAGAATATTCTGGTTATTATTAGAGGGAGGTTATCATTTGAGCCCGTTCTCGTTTCGCCCTTCTCACTTGGCCCTTCTCAAAACAACCATTCTCAAAAAGATCTCTCTTGGACCAGGCGCATTTGGTCCTTTCCCGTTTCGTCCTTCGCATTTCAACCCTCCTCATTTGAGTCCGTTCTCGTTTCGCCCTTTTCACCTGGCCCTTTTCAAAACAGCCATTCTCAAAAATATCTCGCTTTGACCCGTCGCACTTGACTCATTCAATACGAAAATCGTTTTTTTTTTTTTTTTTGGGGGGGGGGTTATATTAATAAGTACATTGATATATTTTGTGCGTGCGTGTGTGTGTGTGCCACGCTACAGGCATACTCTCTCTGCCAAGGATTTTAGCAGTGCGTCGAGATCGTCGTGAAAAGCTACTAGCTGACAATAAAACAGACCAACTATTTATCACAGCCACATCATATTCCGAAATGTCACGTTTTTTGGGGTCTCTCGACCTGGGACAATGCCACCACTTCTATATTGCAGTGTTTCTCAAATGGGGGTCGCGAAGGCATCTATAGGGGTCCGCGAAGCCATGTCTTATCAGTCAAGCACGACAATATTAGTTGTCTTTCTTCACGTCGTTAAGAAACGTTCCAATTTTTGGGTGAGTACTCTCGTGCGTTTGTCAATGAGATAAGTCTACTTCACACTAGCAATTAGTTATATTCATTTATTAAATCATTATCATGATAGCCTATACCTTTCTATTCCCCTCACTCCGAGCGGGGTCCTCCATCATCTCCGCCTTTCTACAAGGGGTCCGCGAAACATCAATGGTTGAGAACCACTGCTAATATGTATGCGATTTCTGTTCAAACAAAGTTTCCAAAATAAATGTTCATCGCTTTTTTTTTTTTGTTTGCTTAGAGGAAGGGAAGGACGCGTCATTGTACGATTCTCAGTGCGCACCTCTACACATAACATATACCTAATGGTATGTTGGGGGCCCAAGCAAGGTAAGGCTCATCAACAAAGCCGCGAAGGCATAACAACGTTAGAAGCATGCCGAAGTAATGCCATTCGGTCGTAGAGCGAACGGGCAAAATGAGAATGGGTCCAGTTGCGAAAAACACGATTCGGATTTTATGAGAACGTTCAAACGAGAAGGACCAAATGAGAATAGGACGAAATGTGCAAGGTTCAAATGCGAATGGGACGTTTTGAGATACACCCATTATTAGAATGCTGAACATTCATGTCTTTTGGTTCATATTACTTATTCTAACTGATAAGCATAGCCCGGTCACAGGTATATTCGTGTGCCCCTGCAGCACAAGGGCTCATGTATTTGAAGCCGATCGATACTAAGGCGGATTAAAATATAGTTGCATGCTCCGTAGGATGCACAAGTTCTAGTATTGGTTCTATATGACAATGTATCTGAATACCAGATTCATCCTGATTCTTTCATTATATTGCAACATAATAATATGACTTACAGAGAAACAATCCTCCCAAGCAGGTCACGCAGTTACTGCAGCACATCCAATTAATATGAGCAACGAATATTTTCAAGCGAATTGTGAATAAGGGTGTCTAGAAAGCAGCACGTTAACATCAGGCCTTTGCCTTTCTTAGTTCGAAGTTTCAATAAAAACATGGTACAACATGTTCCAGGTTGCTGTTGAACGTGCCAAACAAACACAAATGCTAACGCGAATATGCTGCTCTACAAAACATATTTCTTTCCGAATTGCTGCCGAAAGTTAGACACTTTGTTTAATGTAATTGACAATGCCTCAGCGAAAGTGTGACCAAGCTGAATGAAACCCTTAATATCTACATGGGAATACTGCAATACGTTTGAGGAATCGTTATGCGCCTGCTACACCGAGCGTTTTTTTTTTTTTTTCGTTTTTTTTCTTACAGATTTGTTTAAAAAAAAAACCATGAAAGCTACACTTATCCGATTTGTGCGAGTGAGTTATACGCCCAGGGGGCATTTGGGGGTGGTTAGTCTTCGCGATAAGTCGGATAATTAATTAAAATTCGTTAATTAACTTTTTAATTACTGAAAATAGACATATGGTTCCAATTAGAAATTTGCTGAGCGTCGTCCAAAACCCCTAAATCAGTAATTTTTAGAAAGACTTTGAGCGCGTGAAAAGAGCAACAGTGCGCTGAAGCTACTAGAGGAGCAGGTACAAGGCTGGGGCTAAATAAGAGACAGAAAAATCGCACAGGCGCCTTAACGCGACAGCTAGCTTTGTATGTGCTCCACGAGTTGTACCTTAAATGCACTACTACGCTTCTCACGCGCTGAAAGTCTTTCTAAAAATGACTGATTTAGTGGTTTTCGATAACGCTCAGCAAGTTTCTAATTGGAACCATATGTCTATTTTCACTAATTAAAAAGTTATTTAACAAATTTTAATTAATTAGCCGACTAATCGCAAAGATTAGACACCCACATAATGTCCCCATTGGCGTATAACTCACTTGCAGAAACCGAATAAGTGTAGCTTTCATGGCTTTCTTTAAACAAATCTGTAAGAATAAAAAAAAAAACGCCCTGTATATGTACAGTACTCACCAAAGGAACACGCTACTGTATTACCTCTGGAGATTACATCAATCCATGACGTAGCGCACAAAATTGTTGCATTAAGCAACATGTTATAGTTGTCGTTTGGCCACCGACAAGTTAGCACTTTTATAAGGTAATGAACAGTTGGTGTGTTCCTATAAGTTTCGGAAACATTGCACATTGCCAAATGAAAACAGAATTTGACCTTTTTTGACTTGTACCATATTATATAATGTAAACGAAATATGTTTCGAGGGCTCAATATTTCCCGATTGAGGTCAAAGTTGAAGTTTTGGAATAATTTGCGGGTTCTAATTTTCCCGATGCGGTGGGATCTCAATATAGTTTCCAATGTGTTTACATTTTACCAGAACTGTTCGCGGGACCTTTTTTTTTCAAATTGTAGGCGATTTGCGAAAATTAGGTTCTTGCGAAAAATAAGTCGATTACAGTCTTCGAAATTTCTAATTTTGA